TAGGCATATTTTTTTCTTGAGGCTTTTTGTCTTTTTTCCCATATCTCTATAGGTTGAACTCGATGGGCATGTGTCTATGTAACTATGTATCCTAAACTGTGCTGGGGTGTGAGAAGTGTTGGGTCTGGCCCCACACTGTATTGGTGTATGATGCTTTTCACTCTCACTTTGGGGCCCACCTTGCTGAGAGGGGATTATTATAACTGTCATGTCCTCCAGGGGACTGAGATCACTGCTGCTATCCGTTTAGCAGGAGCTCGGTGGGGTTCTTGAATGCATTAACCATCCCGGAATGCACTGGATGTAGTGTGAACCGGCCCTTAGTCTCTGCCATCTCATTTTAAATATTGTCTATGGGTATTCCTCAGTGAATCTTGGAGCGCCCTGCCTGCACCCACTAATGTCTGCTCTGTGACGTCCCTACAGTACATGATCTCCGATCTGTTCCCTGTGTCCTTCAATGAACGGAAGAGAAAATAGGATTTTGGTACTCACCGTAAAATCCTTTTCTCTCCGTTCATTGAAGGACACAGGGCCCGCCCCTCTATATGGGTGTGTAATCCTTTTACTGCTTGTTACTAAACTGGAGACTTGTCAGCAGGTGGGGGGTTTTGGCCACCGGCAGGGGCCGCCCCTAGGCTGTAATTGGTCTTTAGTTTTGTGCCTAGCGTCCTTCTCCTGCAGGTGGCGATATTACCCTACAGTACAGGATCTCCGATCTGTTCCCTGTGTCCTTCAATGAACGGAGAGAAAAGGATTTTACGGTGAGTACCAAAATCCTATTTTTTGAGTCCTTCACTGACTAAAGTTCTGTCTTCTAGTACTTTCCACACCTGTGTACTCTGTTACCTGTGGAGTGTTTTATCCAGTACTGACATCAATCTACACAATTTTTGTACCTCCCACGGGGGAGCCTGCATAGGGCATTCTTTATTTGTACATTTCCTCTTTTGGTATGCTGTAAGTTCGCTGACCTGTGAGAACTTGATTATGGAAATGCAATTTGCAGCAGACGGAAAAATACCTGTTGATCTTGCCAGCAATGCAGTTTCTTTTTAACTCCCTGTGTGCTGGACAGAAGGCAAAACAACCTAATTTTTCTTCTGTAAAGTACTAATCCTATCATTCCCTATGTAATGTAGATAAACAAAGCTAGACATGTCCGCCACCATAGACACAGTGGAGCTGGTAAGCATAACCACTAAATAACAGGAAGTGTGTTTATTCTGAGGATTACCAGGAGAAAATGAAAATGAAGAGTAAAATAATGAAACAAATGCAGCCTTCACATCTGAAGAAAGTTTACTTAGCAAAATTGACTAGAAAGAGACACAAAAAGCAGTAATGGTTTCAGTGTCCAGTGAGAGAAAGGTGTGAGTGAGGGTCATCGACCATTTGGATGTCATTGGTCACTGAAATCTGTGTTTTCACTTTTTTCCTTGTTACATTTGTATGCATTAACACCCACAAGCTCAGCGTATAGATGGCACATGTTGACCCAAATAGGACTATTTTCTCTGTTGCTTGAAACTGTTATTCATTTTTTGCCACAGGTGGAATCGTTGGAAAAATGTGTGGAGATCACGCGAGTTCTCTTTGACTGTAACAGGGAAGACATGTATTTTCAACTGCTAAGCCTGTATGGTGGGTACTCTACCTAAGCTGGTGCTTGCTGGCAAATTGAATTTTGTCCTTTATATTCAATGTACAGAAAAATCACTTTTTTGGGGAGAAATAAAAAAAAAAAAAGTCAAACAAATAATAGGTTAGGCATTGCAATCTTATGTGCATTCTATAAGAAATAGCAGTTACTTTGTAGCACTATATCACTAATCATGCCCATGAGAGCCAAGGTTTTTAACTGATGGAGATTGTATGCACAGTATGGCTATGGGGGAAGAGAAAAGTATATACATAGCTGCTGTGAAGGTTTGTGTGGGAGAATTTATGGCATGGCTGCTGAGGAAGGGGCAGTAATACATACATCAGATCAGAGCTGCACTGTTGCTTATTTCTGATTTTTAAAGCCAGTTCCATGACAAAGCCTGCCCTATAAACATTTCTAAGCACATATTCTCTTTATAAAAGAACTAAATAAATCTACCAATAGAGGTTGTGCTAGTTGGGAAGATTAATGACTATACACCAAAAGCACAGGAAACACTACAAAAAACTGCTGCACTGCCAATACCAGACTTGATTTAAAAGTTGATATGTAAAAAATAGCATTCCTATTAAATCAAACCTATAAAATCTATCTATAATCCAAGCTATAAAAACATCCCCAAATACATCTCTATACTTCTCTAAATAGCTTTAAATATTTTATAAACCTTCTTAGAACCATATGTTCTCCAATGTCTGAATAAAGGCCCAGGTCCAGGAATTTTGTATTTTCAGCAAACTTTTAGAGTAATAAGCTCCTTAGTACTTTGTCATCTCCTGACAAAGTGGAATTGCCGAGGTACGCAAGGATCCAAACATTCTGGAATACTTACCTCTACGGATTGGGTAATTCTTTCCCTGCTTCCTGAGATTCTCATTTGTTACTATTATCATTCTTCATCCTACCACAGCTCTTTTCCTATGTATCTTTTAGAATTTCTCTTTAAGAGCTTATATGATTTAAACCCTTCCCAACCAATGACAGTTTATTCCGTCACGATCTTTCAGTTCATTTAAGACCGGTGACGGAATAATCCCCTCATGTGGTATCCCCTCATGAGGCATGTCCGTGGAGGGACCAGCACTCATTAAGTTAATGCTGTTGCAGGGTACCTCGCTACCTGAGGCAGACCCTCGGGACAATTTAGGGGTTCCCAGCACGGTGATCACTGCAATAACTGATCGCAGAGATGACAGTGCTGTGACAGCCACTGAGCCGGCTTGTAGCTTACTGTGTTGTAGAGCCACAAGTCGGTTTAGTGTATTACAAAAGTGATACAAAGTATCTCTGAGGAGAATACAGTATCTCCTCAGTATACTTAGTATCCAAAGCCCCTGTAAATAAAAAGTTAACCCTTTAGTGCCCCCAGTTTAAAATATAAATAATTACAGTTTTGTTTTTTTTTAAATTAAAGGAAAAAAATAAATCTTAAAATTATAAGAAAACTTGTGACCTATAACTCCAAAAATAATCTGAAATCCCAGACATATGATATACCCTATTAATCAGGACAAATAAAATAATTTATTATTCATTACTTTATTAGCTAAACTAATGTGTTTACACATTATAATTGTCAAAACTGTGAAAACTTTTCACTTTGACTTATCTCCACTGACCTGTGAGTGCCCCTTTAGCTACTATATATATATATATA